ATGGTGAGAGTGGTCTTGATTGCATATCCAAAGAACAAAGGTTTGTTATTCGCTGCAAATTGAATGAGAGTAAAGCTAAACTGAAGGTATTCCCTGTGTTGCTATTAATTTTATACATGCTTATACAATTTCATACAAAGTTATACAGCTGTTTATACATCTTTATACAAGTACTGCTACACTGATTTATACATGTTTATACAATATTTTAGTATAGTTTTTGTTCCTGATTTCTTTCTTGTTATTTTTCCATATGCAAGGTTGGAGACTTCTATATACAACCAGTGCTTCATTTCCACAATAGGATTAGTTCCCATACCGAGACTGATATTGTGACCATTTTGAAGCAATGTTTGACTGACACGCAGCTTCAAATGTTCCGTGCTAGTTGTTTTGGGTATTTCTTGGATCTCCCTCAATTTAAAATTCAAAACCAACTTATTCATTGTAACTATTGGGGGAAGTCGTCCCAGGACGGGAAATGGAGTTGTGGGTTAAAATTAATGGTTGTTTGCTGCGTTTTGGCATTGGAGAGTTTGCTGTTATCACTGGTTTGAAGTGTGTAGAAGAAGACGCCACTTTCTATGACAAGCCTGATGTCAATAGGTTGCTAAAAGAGTATTTTCTCAGAGATGGAAAAAAGGTTATAACGAGGGGGTAGCTTCTTGATCGCTTCAAGAAAAAGGACAGGAAGTCGGACGAAGATGCGTTCAAGATGGCCTTGATGGTGTTTGTCCATCATTTCATATTCTCAGATGCCAATAATCATGGTATCAACAAAGATGATTTTGATATCATTGAAAGTGGTCAATATCAGATGTATGCTTGGGGAAAAAAGTCATTTGAAGATATTTTGAAGACAATGAGGGACAGACAGTGTGATTATTTGACAATGTATAGGCTCGGAGGTTTGCCACTTGTGTTACAAATATGATTTTTTTAGTGTTGCTCTATGGTTGACAAGCATATAGCTGTTCGCGTTGGCACAAATGTGCCACGCATTCTTAATTGGAAAGTCACTGAAACTCCAACATATGCGGATTTGACTGGCGGGGTGATCATGTCTAGTATCGACAAGGTAAACATTTTGTACTATAATACTTCTTCATATATGATTTTAGTTTTTCCGTAAGTATGTATACTTATGAATATGTCACAATTTCCTTTTTCTACTATTGTAATCCAGTTTTTCTTATTGTAGTTGAACTATAGGAACATTTCCCCTACTCGTGAAGAGATGTCAACTCTAAACATCGCCACGCTTTTTGAAGTTAATGCCGATGATGTTGCATCAGGGGAGGTGCCTGCCTTTCACACTGATAATTCGTCTCTGCATCTCCAGCTTGTCCTCAGAATATGGAGCAACAGTCTAAACGACCATATCCTCAGGATACGGAGCAACAGTCTAAACGACCTTATCCTCAGAATACGGAGCGACAGCCTAACCCGAGTTATGATCCTTCGGCGCGCATTGCTCTGTTGAATGCTGAAGTTGAGAAGTTGGGGAGTGCTGTTGGAAAGGTACAAGAGCTTTAGCTTTCTGTAGTTTATCGGTACTTTTTGTATATACATGATTTTTTGGTTATAAACATGGTTGTTGATTTACTTTTGTTGTTTTTGTTGTTTTTTGTTGTAGTTGACTGATACAGTTACGACACTCAATAGTTATGTAGTTTCTTCGTTTGAAAAAGTGTTCAATTTTCTGAATATGAAGGAAACCAAGAAAACGAGGGAGGAGGTTCCTGATTCTAAGGTAATTTACTGATAAAACCAAATCACTCAACAGTTATGCCTTCTCTGAATCATCACTCAACAGTTATGCTTTCTCATTTTATTATTTTTTATTAGATTCGTCAGTGCGTGTCTGATGACAATACATCTGGTCTCGGCGAATTTGATGGCTATCAATATGATGTTGTTCCTGACTTTGTCGATCAAGTGAATCAAGATAACACGCTAGCTGACAAAACAGATTTAGGTGTCAAAACAAATGAGGGAGGTACTGATGGTGTTGATTGTGGTATTCATTTTGCATTTTATCTTTTTTTGTCTGATTTTTCTTTTCTTCATTTTGAAAGTTTTTTATTATTGGTTTTCTCTGTCTAAGGGCAGCAGGTGATGTCAAGGGTGATACATTTTGGGATGACATTGGCGATGAAGATTTAGCTGCGCTACAGATGTCCCAAGTTGTGCTTCACAAACCATCCATCATAGACGTAGAAGAGGATTGCATTTCTCCTGAACACTCGGTTCGACAGAAAATACCAGGAAAATATGCCAAATCTCCATATTTGCGAGTTTTTGATTCGGGGGCATCAGGATCGTCGCACAAGCTCATTTTTGATATCAAGCATCCTTTCACGATCGAAATTGATGATTTTGATCCCTTGTCACCATTGGCCAGAGAGTTTTGCGCGTTTGTTGATAATGGGATGGATACGAGGCGAAGGTATCTTAACTTTCTTTAAGCTTTCATGTTCTGATTTTATACTTGTCAATGAAGGTAGTTCTGATTACTTTTTATTTTTGTGATTTGAAGTGCCAAAAATATTTATACCGATGAAGTAAATAAGCTTGCGGAAGCTTTTACTTTTGGCTCGTGTCATGTGACCACGAAGGATTAGTTCCACTCACTTGCGTATTGTGGTCGACCTTTGATTGACACGGTATTTAATAACTTTATGTTCTAATGCCTTTTTTTATTTGTTGCGTATCTTCATTGTTTGAGACCCCCATAGTGTATGCATAACTTTGTATAATCACAGTATAAGATTGTATAAGATTGTATAACCTTGTATAAATATGTATAACTCTGTATAATAGCGTATAAATTTGTATATTTAAAAAATCTAGTAGTGATGGTTGTTTTGTTTTATTTCTTGTCTCAGCACTTGGATGTCCTCTTTTATTATTTGAGGAAGAGGGGAAAATATGGGCCGAATGTTGCCATGCGGTTTACTACAACCGACTTTGCCTTTGGTCACAAAATCAACTCCCTGTATAAAGATTTCAAAGTGAATCAAGATCCTTCAGTGATTCCTGAAGGGCATGAGATAGAAGAGTACATTAGAGGATATTATTGTGATGCAAATGTACTGTGGCACACTGTTGACCACGTCTTATTCCCTATCTATGTGAAGCGCGGAAGAGCAAAATTGGGCCATTGGGTTTTGGGGTTGTTTACGTTCATAGATAGGTGCATCCACAGCTAATGCTCTAACCGTGGAGCTATTAATGATAGACTTGATTTGGATGCTGCATTACCTTATGCAATTTTGATACCTTACTTCTTGAAGAGTTCTGATTTTTATGTCGAGAAGAAGGGCATTGATTGGAACAATGGTGCATATACCGATAAATCCCATTCTGATGCTTTGCAGATTAATCTGGTTAATAATGTGCCACAATAGATCAAATGGTAGGTTAATCTCAATTGTTTTACTATTTTACTATTAGTATACCTATTTACAGTAACGTATAGAGAATCTGATTTTTTTTAATTACAGTGATTGTGGTGTTTTTGTTGCTGGCTTTGCTGAGTATTTCATCCTTGGCAAGAAAATTTGAAAAGATAATTTTGACATTGAGACACTTCGCACCAGGTGGGGATCTCTGTTGTGGGATTATGGAAGGAAAAAACAACAGTCCGGTGCAATTAGTGGTGATGAAATCACAGGGAGACTTTTCAGGAAGAGGAAGAGGGGACGACCGAGAAAGTAGTTCTGTTTTTTCCATTTTAATGTAGTTTTCCTATATATCAGGAGTTGTTGCCTAATTTTGTCTAAGTACTATTATGCTACTTGTGAGATAACCTTAAAGGATATTATAGATGTTTTTATTTTTGTGTAATTTGTGGTAGTCATTACACATTGTGGCTGTGAATGAATTACATTTTAATGAATATTTCAGTTGCTTTTGTCCTTTAACAAAGTATGTATTTTCATTATGGTTGCAGTTTTGTTAATGTTGCACATATGTATACAATAATATACATAGTTATACAATTTTATACAAACTTATACTCTCATTTATACATCTGTATACATATAATACCATTGATTGTTTACAGTTCTGTTTTGCATTTGTACAATCTATTAATATATTTAGCACCATTAAAAACAGCAACACACTAGTATTGGATAATCAGAACATGTATAATGAAACATATTTAACATAATTCGAATATATAGTGTAAATTATAATTTTTTATTGACATTTGCAACTCAATTGCTTGTGAAACTTAACTACTCAACATTTGTAACTCTGTTTGTGAAACTTAACTACTCAATATGACAACATATGTAATAGGAAGTGTTACGTTTCCAACTATTTATTTTGGTCGATTCCTACATGTTTTTCTATTGTGACCACTTTGTCCACACACTATACAAGAAAACACCCTCTTAGACTCTTTCTCTGAAGCAGGTTTGAGTCTTTCATTTTTTGGCCTTCCTGCATTCCTTCTCCCTTTAGGTGGTAGGACCACATCTTCCAGCACCTCTGTTGGGATTACCCATAAACTCTCATCTAGCATTGGATTCACTAGAAATTCATAAGTTCTAAGGAGGTTATCCATCTTGTAGTAAAAAGAGCAATACTGGCCAGGTTTCAGCTGCTGGTTCTTCAAAACTGCCCAAGCATGCAGACATGGAAGTTCATCCATTTGAAATTTGCCGCAACTGCATGTTCCCTCTTCAAGGCACACTATGTTTCACCTTACCCCTTCAAGCACAGTATATAACTGCTCTGTAGTAGGCCTCACCTGCAAAAGTTTTTTTTTTTTAAAAAAAAAGTTAAAGCACATTATAAATTATTATACAGAGTTATACATCCTTATACAAGCAGTAAAATGCAAGTCAGCAGTGCCAAGCATCATTATATTTGATTCGTGTTACCGTCATTTGCTCCGATGCAATCAGATTTTCCCGAAGGAGTTTGTCGTACTTTTCGCCATGCTCTGTAGATGTCTCCATTGCACTTTTTCTATTTTTGTTGTTCCACTATTGTAGCAAATTTGTGATGTACTCTAGCAATCGCATTACTGGTAACTCTCTAGCATCTTTGTTTGCTGCATTAGTTGACTCTGCAATATTGGAAGTCATTACCATCGACCTTTTCACTTTGGAGTATGCCCTAGACCACCTTTTGTAGCCAATTTCGAACAAGTAAGGCTGCACCCTCGGATCAATTTTGCACATCTCTGTCATATGGTAGTCAAACTTCTCTATCGTGTAAGCTCTAGCCAAAGCAAAGAAGATATCCTTCAATTGTTTGTGATGTTTCTTGAATGTGCGCTTGACATTCTGCCACAAGTAAAATATGCAAATACAATGTGGTACTTCTGGGTACACAGCTTTTGTGGCATTGAAGATGCTTTCGTTTCTATTTGAAACTATGCACATCCCTTCCCTAACACCAAAAGTACCCTTTATATGGACGAAGAACCACTCCCAAGATTTGTTATTCTCTGAATCTACAATTGCATATACAAGTGGAAGGATTTTTCCTGTTTATACAAAATAGATATTAGGATTCAGACAATTATACAAATCTTATACACAGTTATACATGATTATACAACTTTATACAAACTGCAAATTTTATAAAAACAACAGTTGTGAAATCCTATACACTTTTATACATGAAACTACAACATTATACAAACTGCAGAAACAAGGTAGATGCAGTCAACTCACCAGTTCCATCCTGTGTGCAAGCAGTCAGTATGGTACCCTTATATGCTGCTTTAAGGAAACTTCCGTCAACAACCATTATCGGTCTGCAATGCTCCCAACCCTTGATAGATGCATATAGCGAAACATATGCATAAAGAAAGCATCCATCTTCTGATTTGTGCAACTTTGTAACCGTTCTTGGATTTGTATGCTCCAACATATACAAATACCCCGGCAACTCCTTATATGAATCGTTCGAATTCCCTCTTATCATTGCCATTGCTATCTCTTTAGCTCTCCATGCTTTCATGTAGCTCACTTCAACCCCGTATTTCTTTTGTATGTCCTCTATTATATCATTTGCGGTGTAAACTTTTTTTGGATTAACATACTTGTCCTTGACTATACTACCAAATACACCCGAAGTAGCTTGACGTTGTGTTAAGTATCTTTCACCATAGCCCCATGTGTGATTATTATTGTAACTTCTCACCTTGAATATGTTTGCCTTGTAAACGGCAGAAGATTTGAAACTCCAAGCACAATTGTCATCCACACACATAAGGTGATACCTAGGATTAAAGATCATTCAACTTCTAAATACACTTGTATACAAAAACATAACTAGATATATACTAATTTTAATACCTATATACAAATATATACTACTTTATACATATTTATACATATATATAACAGAATATACAACTATTGCATACCTTGTTGCGCTTGATCTCTTCAGCTTGAATTGGAACCTCTCGCGTACAGCCAAGTTCTTCATCACACTGACAACTGTCTCTTTATCCTTATAAACTTGATCCTCCTCAACAAATTCGTTCAACATATCATCTATTATACCCGTATTTTCACTAAATTTCGTGTTTTCAGTAAATTCGATATCAGGCATAATCTCAGTGCTATCAATTGTGGATACATCTATACAATTGGAACTTGTAGCAACCAAACAACTGGAACTTGTACCAACCAAACAACTAGAACTTGTACCAACCAAACGATTATCATAAATCTCTTTCACCGTCACATACAACGGGTATTCAGTTAAATTAAAGTTTTTCTTCTTTAATTCGATATACACCTTAACACCCGTATCGTTGTAAATCAGGATCGATGGCAAACCATCCTTTGGGACAAAATTAATCTCCAATATGTTTAACTCACAATCGATTCTAATTGGTTCCGAAATAGTTGCAACTAAATTGTTGTAGCTGAATGTCGACTCGATTATTACACAATCGCTGACGAAATTGGTAAACTTATTTTCTTCCCATTCACCACTATGAAGAACGTAAACTGGAAAAGGCTCCATCGAACAAAAAGTTGAAATCAAAATTGCAGCAAAAATGAAAATTGCGTTGATTGCAGCAAAACAAATTCACTTTTCGTGTTTGATTCGCTGTTAATTCGAGATGAAGAACAATTTCTAGGGTTTTTGGAGTTGCATTGACTGCAAGATTGCATTTTTGTAGATTTGGTGAAGAAGAACGGAAAGAATGAGAGAAAATTCCGCTGAAAGATACAAAATCCCGCTTCTGAATCCCAAAAAACGGAAATAACGCCCCTTTTTTTGGATATGGGCCTGTTATTTTTGGGCTACTCAATTGTAAATTGAAATATGGGTTGGGTTTGACACAGTTACCCACAAAAACAAAACTATTTAGGGAAACTTACACAAATGTCCCTAATAAATCCAACTTACCAACCTCTAGGCATTAGTCATAGACTTACCAAAACTAGCCAACAAAAATTGAAAAACCAAATAATAGGGTTCTTTCTCTCAAAGAATCACATGCAAAAATCACATTCCACATTTTTAAGCGTGATTAGCAACATTAGATACAAGACGGAAAGGAAATTTCATGGACGGGGTAGCAAATAAGGTGATGAAATACAAAAATCTATACAATATTCCAAAAATCTAAACAAAAAGGAACTTTTTCAATGGGTATAGTTGAAATTCATTGAAAATATATAGATAAGTCAATATACAAAATTTGAGGAAGATTGGAAGTGATTTGGACTGGTTTTGTATCAAAATTCGTAATTAAATCGAGTTCAAAAAAGTCTTCTACGACACATGTATCAAACATGTATCACGCATGTGTCACACACACAGGTATACATGGATATATATGTGATACAAAATTGATACAAATATGATACATATGTGATACACAAATGATACACAATGTGATATACATATCATTTTTTTTCATGTTCAGCTTTTACTTCGGATTTTCAGTTCAAACCACCTCAAAACTTCACCAAATCATCCCAAAACTGAGATTCAAGCTCCTTAAGTTGTGTCCAATCTATTCTAATAACACCCACTCAAAACAAAGCAAAAATTTGATATTTTTTTGCTACAAATAGCTAATTGGCTAATTTGGCTAATATTAATAATATTTTATCAATTGGCCAATTTTTGTAATGAGCAACTTATAAATGGACATAGCTGGTAATTTCCCAACTATTTACCCTTGTCTACCCATTTGTTTTCCTACCCATAAACTAATTACATTTCCTATCCATAGTAGATTTTGTGGGGAATTTTTTCTTTATTCTCCAATTCTTTTTTATTTCTATGCTTCTTTTCTTTTCTTTTTTCTTTTTTTTTTCTTTTCTCGTTTTTTTTTCTCGTTTTCTTCTTATTTTTTTTTCTTTTTTCCTTTTCTAATTTTATTTAACTTCTGTTTTTTTATATTATTTTTCTCTTTATAATCTAATTTCGTTTACTGTTTTCACTATTTTTTATTATTCTTTTTTTTATATTATTACTAAAGAAAAATCAAATTGTGTACCAATTAAATGTAGTTAATACAACCAAAAAAATATTAACTAACATATGATACCGGTATAGTATATAGCTATACCAACAGGGTATACATTTGTACGCAAAGAGTTAAAAAAATTTAATTCAATTATTAAACTGAAATAATATCAGTTGTCAAAAAAATTAAAATTCTATAAGGACCTAATTGTAAGAGTATACCATTACATCATATAGCATACTATATATTTTTTTTTTTTTTGCATTTTCAGTTTGCCCCTCACGCTTGGGTAAAAGCTTAAAACAAATTAAAAGGGAAAAGACAAGTGAATTTACGGGTAATAAGTATACTATTATAGTATATTGTATACTATTGCATCATATTGTTACAGTATCTTGCATATTATTACAGTATACCATAACAATATATTGTATACTATAATAGTATATTGTTGCAGTATAACTATATACTCCTATAGTATATTAGTATACTGTAGCGGTATACTGTTTTGTAAACTATAATAGTATAGTGTTGCAGTATAGCTATATACTCCTACAGCATATTGTATACCGTAGCGGTATATTGTAGCTGTGTTCTTCTTCGATTTTCAACTGAAAATTTCGATCTCAATCACCTCAAATCAACTCCGAACGCTATCAAATTTCAGTATGAAATTTCAGAAGGTACTATAAGCAATATTTAACAGCACCCACTTTGAATCAAACAAGAAATCTTCAAAAATAAAATTGAGCTTCAAGCCCAACAATGGTAGGACCATGGAAGTATCACCTCGAACTGGTTCTTGGGTACAAAAAATGTCAGGTTCTTGCTTATCTGTTGCTGCTACAGTATCTACTTCTTCTACTTCTTCACTGTATCTCTTCACTCAAAAGCCTAAATTCTCAGTAGATCATCTTTCCTTAAGTACTTATAATACTCACTTCAACTTCAAGATAAACTCAACAAAACTCAAAGCCCATTTCCCCATTTCCTCTCTTTATCGCTCTTCAATCATTTTGAGCACTTGTGCTTCTGTGTCTGATGGAGTTGAGGTTTTCCAAGATGATGACGAAGAAGAAGTTGCATTGTCAGCCAAAGAAGAAGAGGAAATTGAAGAAAAAGAAGAAGGTGTTGAGTTAGAATCAGTTGAAGGTGGTAGATTGTAAGTGGGTAAAATGAGGAAGAAGAAGTGCGGGTAAATAGTTTGGGGGCCATGGGTAGGAGTAGTAAATAGTTTGGGCATGGGCATTAAAGGGTAAATAGTTTGAAATTAATGGGTATAAAGTGAAATTTTCTCTATAAAGTTAAAAAGTAGGCAGCCCAGTTGTTTTAATATGAAATTGTCCCGAGAAGAAATGGAAGAGAATATTAATAAAGATGAGTAAAAATAAAAGTAGGTGGCAATTTGCGGAAGTTGTGAGGAGAAAGAAAGAAACGAATATATTAATTAACAAAACAGAATAGGTTGCAAATCACAAAATAAAGCACACACTAAAGATGCAAAACACAACGTACCCTACATATAAAAAAAGTTTTCCTTTTATAACTTACAATCAGAAACTTAAGAGAAACTTTTCTTTTCATAACATTTCCTTTTTAGCATTCGGTATTTATAAACTGGTTAAGGCTGCGTCTAGGATTGGGAGAAGACAAAAAACATAAATATTTCCTTATATATTCTCTTCGGCAAGGCTGAGAACTTGGAGGTGGCCATAGATTCTGTGTCAAAATATTTTTGAGAAGGATGGAAGAGAAAAGTGTGGATGCAGCAGTGGATTACATATCCAAATTGCCAGAACCAATTTTGCAGAAAATTATGTCTTCTCTTTTGGCTAAAGAAGCTGCACAATTAAGTACATTGTCTAAGACTTGTTATAGTGCTTGGACTTCTCTCTCTTACTTAAACTTTGGTTATAACTTTTTGTATCATAAAGGGGATGATGACCGTTGGATACAATCAGAAAACATAACAGAGCTTGTGAATATTGTGGATCAAATTATAGCAAATCGGCAGCAGCAGAAGATTTCTGTACAAAAGTTCTGGCTAACATTACCGTCTAGTGAATGGTCTATAATTGGATTGAGACACTCGTAGGGCTAAGCATCAAAGAGTTGATTTTAAGTGTAGATGCACCAGATACACCTTTCTCTGGTTGCAGCACTTTGCCTGAAGCTATCTTTGCTGCCAAACACCTAAATATTCTTGATTTACGTGGATTTAAGCTTCAATTGCCCCCCGATGGCATAAAGTTTTCATCTTTGAGAATGTTACACCTCTCTAAGGCACTTTTGGGCGAGCATTTTATTCGAGTTTTATGTGAAAGCTGCAATGACTTAGAGGATTTAACTTTAAATGAATGCCGCGGACTATTCAGTTTACGAATTACAAGAACTTTACGCAAACTGAGGAGGGTTGGGTTGACTCGTCTTTTTGAATTACAGATGCTTAATATTGTGGCACCCAATCTTGAAAATACCTTCATTGATATAACTGCTTGCAAAGCATTGAAAAGATTGTATCTCGAAGGTCATGTTTTCCAGTCTACCCAACCTTGAAAGCTTGCACCTATGGAGATGCAATGGATTGAAGACAATCAAGATCACAAGTGACCGACTTGAGGTTTTTGATGTATCGTTCTGCTGTAATCTGATTAATATTGAACTGGATACTCCTAACTTAAGAAGTTTCTGTAATGAATCAGCAGCACACTCCAACAGTACCTAGACGCAGTACTAGAGAGAGGCATTTGCCAAGTCATTTGGACCACTACGTGGTCCCCAATCCAAAAGGGAATGTTCTATCTGTCAAGCCGTTAGAGAAGGGACAAGAATTGCTTGGCAAGGAATAGCATATATAGCAGCAACAACAATTGGAATAGGTGTGGATGAAGTTTGCTTTTTTTTATTTCATTAGCTACCTTGTAGCAATTTGGGACCTCTCTTTTCTTGTTTTTTCATTTTTTGTTCACTGTTTCTCCTTGTTTTCCTAAGGATTGAGGATAATATAGTGTTACCCTTCAGTTCAATTGAATATCATATCTTGTTTCCTTACATTTGGTGCTTTCATTGACCCTCCTTCTACAATGGGTGACGGTGCACACAATACTCGGTTGAAATCTTTGGATGAAGCTGTGAAACACCTCCAAGAGGTGTCAGCTGTTCACACCAAAGCTCTGGACTCCATCCACAATACCCTTCAGGAGATTGTTGCGCACATGGCTTCTCAGAGAGCTCCTTCTCCGACGCCGGTGCCGCTCGCTGCTAGCCCTTCTTCCTCTATGTTGGGTCAATCATCGATACCGCAACAACAAACTGGATATAAGCAACATACATCACCACAGACACCAGTTTTTAACGTCACTCAACCACCACAACAACAACGACCCTCTAATCACTTTCGCAGAGACAGAGCCATTGAATTGCCAAAGTGCGACGGTAACGCTGCGGAGAGTTGGATTTTCCAGGTCCATCAGTATTTCGACCACTACAATGTTTCCGACGAAGAACGCATCAACCAATGTTCATTCTTCCTTGAAGGCGACGCCAGATATTGGTATCAATGGATGTACCGGCTCATCAGTTATGTGGTTGNTTGTTTTCGTTACCTAAGTAATCGTAGGCTTAGAAGTAAGTAACTAGTAAGTTTATATATAGAAGATAGAAGAAAACTATGTTGTGCATTATTTGCCTTTAGAAATATTGTTGGAGGCATAAGCTGAAGGAAGTCAAAACGGAAAACTTTACATGTTCGGAGCAGCAGGAGCTGCGAAACTATCTTTTCAAAGATGAAGATGCATCAAAGATGGTTGACGTATTCAAGAAATGCATCCTAAGTCCAAGATTTCACTTCAATAACTTTACTTTATGCACAAGTTTCATAATTTCTTGTGTCTTGTTGTGTCTAGTTGCATATATATGCTACATCTTTTGACCTTTTGTTCTTCTCAGCCTTTAATGCAAAGTTATTTTCTAGCTTGATTGATTCTACATCGCACTGTCTACACAATTAAATAGTTAGCAAGGGCAGCAAAAGAGCGTAGTATTGCTACATTGCGAGTACAGAGCTCAGATTAAACATAAGAACAATTAACATTGTTGAAATATTGANAATTTTTATTGGGATAGCATGCGGACAGATGTGAAAATTTTTATCATGACTTGTCAAATCTGCCAGCAAATGAAGGACTCAAATTTGAAACCTGCTGGACTGCTTTCACCTTTGCCAATTCCAGAGGTTATCTTCGAAGATATTTCAATGGATTTCATTACTGGTTTGCCTCCTTCCCATGGTCGCACTGTTATTTTGGTCATTGTGGATCGTTTGTCCAAATACGGCCATTTTATTGCCTTGCCCACGAACTTCACCAGTCATAAAGTAGCAGAGGTATTTGTACAGGAGTTCATTCGCCTCCATGGTTTTCCAGTCACTATTGTATCGGATAGGGACCCCTTGTTTCTCTCTGAATTCTGGCGTGAACTCCACAAGCTTCAGGGGACACAATTGGCTATGAGTTCTGCTTATCACCCACAATCAGATGGTCAAACCGAGGCTCTCAACAAATGTCTCGAGATGTACCTTTGCTGCTTCGCCGCTGATACACCAACTGCTTGGTTTTCTTTGTTACCATGGGCAGAATTCTGGTATAACACATCCTATCACCATAGTTCTAAAGTAACTCCTTTTGAGGTAGTATATGGTCGTCCTCCACCAACAGTTTCACGCTATGTCAAAGATAATTTAACTAATCCAGTCGTGGCTGCTTCTCTTCGCCAGCGTGATGAGGTTTTGGCTATATTAAAGGCAAATTTAATCCAGGCACAAGAGCGTATGAAGGTTTATGCGGATAAAGGTCCTCGAGAGGTTGTGTTTGAAGTGGATGATTGGGTTTATGTCCGTCTACGTCCCTATCGTCAGCTCTCCATCCGTCTGCAGCGTCATAACAAACTGAGCAGACGATTCTTTGGTCCCTTTCAAATTATACAACGCATTGGCGAAGTTGCTTATAAGTTGGAACTACCCTCATCCTCCAAAATTCACCCCGTATTTCATGTTTCTGTTCTCCGCAAGTGTCTGGGCAATCCATCGCACCAGGTCACCCCTATTGACCTTTTGGATCAGTCTTCTTCCTTGATACTACAACCTGAAGATGTCTTGCGAACTCGCACTATTTCGAGGGGAGCACATCAGGTTCCACAATGTCTTATCAAATGGTCTGGACTTCCTGCTTCTGATGCAACTTGGGAGGATACTCACGCTCTTCTGCAGAAGTTTCCGAATCAGAACCTTGAGGGCAAGGTTTCATCTTCATGGGGTCGGCAATGTAATGAATCAGCAGCACACTCCAACAGTACCTAGACGCAGTACTAGAGAGAGGCATTTGCCAAGTCATTTGGACCACTACGTGGTCCCCAATCCAAAAGGGAATGTTCTATCTGTCAAGCCGTTAGAGAAGGGACAAGAATTGCTTGGTAAGGAATAGCATATATAGCAGCAACAACAATTAGAATAGGTGGGGATGAAGTTTGCTTTTTTTTTATTTCATTAGCTACCTTGTAGCAGTCTGGGACCTCTCTTTTCTTGTTTTTTCATTTTTTGTTCACTGTTTCTCCTTGTTTTCCTAAGGATTGAGGATAATATAGTGTTACCCTTCAGTTCAATTGAATATCATATCTTGTTTCCTTACAGATTCACTTATGTTTGTATTAATCAGCTGCCTACACTCAAACTGAAAGTTTCACCTTTGCTAAAAGTTTATCTCTACTTGGAAGTGGGAAAAAAACTTGATAGTCATTGGTACTCTAAGCTCGTGAGATTTCTTGGAAACTTCAAGCATTCAAAGGCTATTCAGTTATGGTGCAACAGTGAAAAGGCGATATATAGTTATACCCAAGGACTTGAGAAAAAACTTGGTTCCTCCACTCTATGATACTGATTGCTTGCGTATAAAATTTAGAAGTTATGCAGATAATTACTCAGTTTTGGACGTTCTTGATAGTTTGCTTTGGATTTCTCCTCAACTGGACACGCTATGTTTTGTTCCAAGTAATCTAGGCTTGAAGAGTAAACTGAAGTTTATATATGAAGATGAGAAAACATGTTGTGCATATTTGCCTTTGAAATATTGTTGGAGGCATAAGCTGAAGGAAGTCAAAACGGAAAACTTTACATGTTCGGAGCAGCAGGAGCTGCGAAACTATCTTTTCAAAGATGAAGATGCATCAAAGATGGTTGACGTATTCAAGAAATGCATCCTAAGTCCAAGATTTCACTTCAATAACTTTACTTTATGCACAAGTTTCATAATTTCTTGTGTCTTGTTGTGTCTAGTTGCATATATATGCTACATCTTTTGACCTTTTGTTCTTCTCAGCCTTTAATGCAAAGTTATTTTCTAGCTTGATTGATTCTACATCGCACTGTCTACACAATTAAATAGTTAGCAAGGGCAGCAAAAGAGCGTAGTATTGCTACATTGCGAGTACAGAGCTCAGATTAAACATAAGAACAATTAACATTGTTGAAATATTGAAAACTTGTTAGAGAAATAACGATTCACTTACAAAATTTTAGCGTTTTTCATAAGTAATGTGGGAAATAATACTGCTGGTATAGTAGAAATTATTAGAAAGTGGTGAGATAATTTGGCTTTTACTAAATCTCTCCAGTTATGTACTGACAATTCCTTAGTAGTTCATGTTGGGAAATATATAATATGCCGCCCAGGAACAATATCCACGATAAATTACAATAACATAAGAGAATAATAACGATACCAAATCTTTTAACAAGATAAAATACAATACCCAAGTAGAGCAATATTACCACTATAATATTACAACTTAATAGTGTTAAAAAACTACTACAACTTTAAAAGTAATAATACTCTTTATTTTAGATACCTCACTATAATATTACTCACACTCACTATTTATCTCACAGACTGTGTAATATGTGGATTGGATTAGTCTTAGCTTTCTGCTTCTCTCGTTTTGGTGTGTTTCAAAAGAGAAATAGAACCTACAATATGTGACTACTTAATAATACCGTTTTCACCTAAATGCTTGACGAAACACTTTTTAAAATAAAAAAAAATATGACTTCCCGGCTATAGTTTCTTCCCTTACCAAGTGAAGATGACTATATACAAAGAATTCATAGGATCCCAATTTAGAATGATTATGGTGCCTTTTTTTAACTTTTCTTGTATCCTTTTATCTGAGTCGGTTATCTTTCTAGGAGCTCTTCTTTTATTCTTTCCCCTTCTACCTTTCTCATAGATTACTATGTTTCTGTCAGATCCTAAAAATTAGGAATTAAAAGAGAATTCAAAAATTAGGAATTAAAAGATATAACAATGACCCTCTTAGAACAGCAATAAGCAGTAAAAGATATGAAGAACGAATATTACAAATATCTTCTAACGTGTTTAAGATACACAAATTTTCTCTGTACATACCTCACAACGTATTCCACTCAAAAATCTGTTTAAGAAAAACCTCCTCGAGTAATCGCTTTTTGAATATCAAAATCCATGGCATAAAAGGGTTAAATGCTAAAAGACCAGACTCTAATCCTATACATTCCTTCTGATTTAGTAGTAGTTCTTGCTTCTCTGAGGGGCAGAAGGGAAGGAGCTACCATCCTGTACGCGATGTATGCAGAGTAGCTAATAAAGCCAATCCTTATAGTCGATTAATGAAATTATCACACTAATTACACACACATAAGGATTAAAGCTTGTATTAATGAAAAAACGTAGATACAATAGTAGGTACGGTACCATATTAATTCAGCAAAACAGCATAGCAACATTGTTCAAGGTAGTCACATTTACAAGAAAGGTTTTGTACACTACTAATATTCCAAGTGAATCATGTCACAATACCTTAACATTTAAAACCTCCACAAGCAAAAAGCCAAACAATGATAATGAAAACTAAAATAGCACCTCCAACCATGAGCTTCATTTGAAGGTTCTGAAACCACATCTTGCGACGAAGCTGCCTACCTTGCCTCTGAAAGCTGTCAGCCTGAGCACATTCATATTTGCCAGTCAGCACAATCACAAAGGTTACTCTCAAGGCAAAGAGTCGGTAAAATAACACATACCTGGAACTGAAGGTTCTCAGTTTTATCCACTAGCAGTTCAATCTTCTCACCCCGATCCAAAACCTGCAACAGAAAATGTCTTTTAACCTAAATTCGGCCAGAAACAGAAGCAAAGAACTTACAAAGAAACAACTTCTTTTTTGGATGATGGTGGTGTCAGGGCCAGCTTGCGCGCACCTCAACTATTCCACCGGCACCTGCTAACTCTCACATGCACAGATACCGGGTAACCCTGCCCAACAAAGCAGAGGCAGATGGGAAGAAATCACCTAGTGTATTTTGCCTCCGCTAGAATTTGAACCTAGACCTCATTGTTCTCCTCTCACTTTATTGACTTCTAGGCTACACCCCTGGGTGCTTTTACTAACAGTGATTTTTTAAGACAACCCCCAATTTTCCAGTTTACCTTTCTCAAAAACTTGATTCACATAATCATTACTTGATATTTTTTCCTTCTTAAAAGGTTAGCCAAAAGCAAGAAGAAAAATAGCCACTTCATATGGAGTGGTCGGAAACTAATCAAGCAAAAGCAGACTAACTGAATCCCCGTTGGGTAAAGTATGCTTATCGTTCATTTCTAATTCTCCCAAAAAGAGGCAACCTCTTATTTTCAACTAACCACTCACCCTCTGTCCTGTGACTTCAACAGCATTCCTTATCACACAGAACCTAAGACCCATCATTATGAGGATATTTATCTATTAATTCCGTTACGATAATTTATGAAGTGAACCTATTAGTACCTCTATTTAAGCAATGAACAAACTTGACGTTACTAGCACAGAAAAGACTGCAGTTTGCAATAACAGCTAAAGTAGGAAGGTGAACCACATCTGGACATGGGAGCTGGCGTCTAGGAGTTGTGAACAATAGATTCCAGAACAAGGTAGTGGACGCATGCCTTTACATAGTATGACATTCTCAAACATGGGTTTGTTAGCATCATACAGGCAAAAGTGCAATTGGATAATAAGAAACTGGGTGGTCTGTCTGTGCGCAGTAAACAACAAATTGGCTCTTTGCAAAGCCAGACATTGAAAACATGAATTATCCAGAGATATGAAAGAAATATTGCATACCTACACCAAATGAGGTCTGAAATAGCTTTAGCACCAAAATCTGAAAAACCCCAATGGTGTAAGTTTCTCTGACCAGGTTTGTGTCACAAAAGCTTTAGCTCACTATTGATTGGGTGAACTTTTTGTTCTTCTCAACCCTTTTCAAAACTATTTTCTAATTTGATTCTACATCCCTGGGCTATCTAATAACAAGGACACTAGAAATCTGTTCCTTGCATAATACATATGCAAAATACAGTAAAGAGAAGCTGAAGAAAATAAATTTGGAAAGGAAGAGAGCACAATTAGTTGGTGTCTGACAACTGCCCAAATGGACTCCAACTAATCTTAATGTTAAACCGACTAAGATTTAAAACACAACATAAAATTGGTGTTCAGCTTCCTAGGAGGTATCGCTTTCAAAAAACAAACATATTCACTATTAAAAGTCAGCATTTAAGATGTTCAACTTTCCCTACCTACCCCCAATTTACAGTTTCTTCATACTTTTCAAAACCACTGAACTTATCAATGAAGTATCAGAAATCCGTAAACCCAAACACAAAGTCGGTGGCAGAGCCACTGCACGTGCAACCTTGGGCGATTATGGGGCAAACCTCAACGTTCAATTTAGCTTAGGCAAGTCTCTCATTATTAAGATAGGTGGTGGGGAAATTCACAACTGAGCATACACGAATCCCAATCTCTATGACAATGGTGGAAGACACTTAGTTTCTAAAGGGAGTGCATGTAAAATCCCAGGCAAATCCTACATTGATAAAACACAGAAGATGCTGGATATATAATAAAACAAATCATAGACCATAGTGACGCATTAAAGAACCATGTGCGCCTACGCCCAGAGCAGACAATATCACTAGTTGGTTGGATTGTTATAAAACACGAGACAAAATATAACTGTAACATCAATAACTAACCTTACTCAATATGTATAGCCTATATGCACCCTTTGTTTTCATTGTGTCATGTTATTTTTTATTGAAAAGGTAAAGATTTTACAAATAAAACAGCACTGAAATTTCCCGATGATGTACAACAAACTGTTACATATAGTCAAACTACCAGCTAGATTGTAGCTACTCCTGACAATTACATGGAGTAATAATAAAACTACCAGCTCAAAGGGATCTCAAACTCTGAAGACTGTTTGAATTGGCAAGGAAATAAAATTGGTAAGTTCTCTGTTAGATCAGCTTATAAGGAATTCAGCCTCTCCATGAATTAGGTTGTTGGCCATGGAAACTGATTTGGAAAGTTAAATTCCTTATAAAGTTGCTTGCTTTACTTGGTTGTTGGCAAAGGAGGCAGAGTTGACACGGGACAACCTAGTCAAGAGAGGATATCAGTTATGCTCTAAATGCTACTTGTGTGGAGAGGAGGGAGAGACAAGTAGTCATCTCTTTTTACACTGCAGGTTGACTGCTCAACTATGGAGAATTTTTATCAACTTAAGGGGCATTATGTGGACTATGCCAAGAAGAATTCCAGAAGTGCAATGCATGCTGGAATAGAGATGGTAATTTGTCCAATCAGAAGGAGAGATGGAGGAGTGTCATCTGGTGGACAATTTGGGAAGAGAGAAACCAGAGATGTTTTGAAGACAAGTATAATCATGTCCAGAAGAAAAGAAATGAAGTGTCTACTGTTGTTCTACTTTTGGTGTAAAGGAGAACTTTTAGAAGAACATGAGTCTATTTTTGATGTTTTAGATTCCTTGTGAGAAGACCAAGGATTAGGAGTCTTTTTTCCTCTCCTATGTAATTATGGGTGACTACACAGTTTTTGTGTAGTCTTTATATTAATATACAGTATGTTACCTTCTCAAAAAAAAAACTACCAGCTAGATTGTAACTGCTCCTGACAATTACATGGAGTAATAATAAACCCGGTTTTCCCTATTTCATGCAAAATGCTGATCATCACCAGCATAATTTTTGGTGTTGTTATCGTTAAGTAGAGATTATAGGTCTGCTGCGGTAACTTGTTCCTGTGTATTTTAGGTCTATCACATTCCTTTTAGCACCTTCAACCATCTAATATAGCGTTTAGTTACTAAATGGTGCAGTTAGAATTCTATATAAGACATAAGAAAACCACTTGAGGCGACCTTCTCTTATATATCATCAAAAATATGGACCACAACCATAGACTTATTTCACCATAGGAATGCAAAAAGCGTCCAACAAAATACTTTTTTTTCCTTCTTTTTGGGTGAGGGTGGGGTGTAAGTTTAGAGGAAGTATTCCTTACTAACCAAAACTGGCTACAAAGCTCAAAAGAGGAAATACATAACCAATCACACTACCTTCTTGGCTCCACTTTTTTTAAGAGGACCAACACATTCGACAATTATATAAGAGAAAACTGAAAGTATAATCACCTTTTATAATAGGTTTTTCCAGGTTAACTCTTCAAGGCCTTTTAAAAAAGGAACTCTTCAAGACTTTAATTCCCCAGTTGGGAGAATGGAAGACAAATAACCTTCCCAGTCAATTTATTAGGAATTGGTCAAAACCAAATAAATTGACCTTCACTGAAGGATTCAAGGACAAAAAAAGACTTTACTTGCTAGCCATCTATATAAAAATTTCCTACCCCTCTTCTTTTTCTTTTCCTATCCCCTGGTGAAACGCCTCAATTTACATTATTTTTTTTAAAAAAAAAAAGTCCCAATCCCACTCGTTATCCCATCTTTCCAACCTAAAATAAGTTTCACCGACACCAAGGGAAAGAAAAAGGAGGTCAAAGAAGAAAGATAATATAACTTTACCTTCTCAATATTGTCCATCATTATTCCTTTGACCTCTGTGATTTGAGCCTTCAACTTAGAGAGCTTGCTCATTTCATCAGGATGGTTCATACAGTACTCCATGTGCTCTTTAAGTTTTGGCCTAGCAATTTAAGGATAAATAAATCCAAGTTAAATGTGCTGATTTTGGACCCTATACCAAGTCTACAAATATATTTTACTTGTAAGTGAAAGGAATAAATACACATACCCGAATTCTCTGTCAAGATTGTACGCGATGCTAAAACGATACCCGAATAGATCATCATCTTCTTCATCATCATCAGCAAGAGGGTGCGGATCACCATCATTTTTAATACTTGAACCGTAACGTTTCTTGAAATCATCCTTAACCCTTTCAAGAAAGACAAAAGGTACACTTCTTCCAGTTGATTCATCAGCAACAACTAGGAAGACTGCAAAATGTATTGGTAGAAAACTAGTCAGAATCCAGTTGATTAGAAATGAATTATATACAACATCAAATATTATAAGAAGAATAAATACCAAATCCACTATCAATGAGGAAGTTGAAGGTGTGACCATCGCATGAGTATGTATACTTGCTACTATTTGAAGGAAGCTTCTGCAAGCACTGGACAGCAATGGTACTGAAGTTCCCTGAATAAGGTGTATGCTCAGCTAGAACAACAGTTCCTCTCGCAACAAAGCTATAAATCAAACCTTTTGGATTCATTTTCAGTCACAAACTCCAATGTCGATGACTGCGATTACAAAAAAAGACCAAGCTGATCCCTTAATGAAATATACAAATATCTGACAAAAAATGGACACAAAAAAATCAGCTTTTCCATGAGATTAAAATGATCACGTCAGCCTTCACACTAAATTGATTATGTTCAAAATACAAACAAACAAATGGGCTTCAAGCATTGGTTTTACATCTATCAACAGAAACCCTAGCTTGTATGCACCAAAGACCTCAATTTCTGGAGTCCAAAGGGAAAGATAATAAGGGGAAAATAGGGGAGAGGTGAATATTACTCCCTCCGTCCAATTTTATGTGACACACTTTTCTTCTTAGTTATCCCAAAAAGAAGACACAGTTCCATATTTAGAAATAATTTAACTTTAATCTTCTCATTTTACCTTTAATGATTTAGTCACACAAATGTTAGGCTTATTTTAGACCAGAAGTTTTGAAAATCTTACCTTCTCTCTTAAACTCAGTGCGTTGGTCAAACAGTGCCACAAAAATTGGAACGAATGGAGGGAGTATATGATACGCCGAAAATCAAAGATGCGCATATTGCAAATAAGAACCGACAGTCAAATCGAAGCAACTTCAACAATCTAATTAGGAATCTACAACTATAATCCGGAAAACGAAAATCAATAATTTCCAATTAACTATCGTAGGAACACGATTATAATTGCACTTGTCAAAACTTCCGATCAGATCCTCACCAATATTGTTCAATTCGTGCTGAAATTGTCAAAAATTATAGAAACAAATAAACACACGCATATGTATAGAGAACCTGAGGTTGCAGAAATTGTGATTGCTTAGTGAGCACGACTGAAGTGGAGCTTCAGATTTCGACGCGAAGAGAAGGCGTGAGGGGAGATTGGTTTAGAAAACGTGGAAAGGACTTTTTCTTACTCTTTAATTAACAGCGACGGAGTCGAGGAGTCGAAGTTATAAGTCTGGGACCAAACTGTATTAATGCATTTGATTAACTGGTAGACGGTTTACATACGATTAAGCTAAATTACGCTGACACGGCAAAAGGAAGAATAAGATGCCACTCTATACAAGGGCTTTTTTGGAAATTTGAACCATTGGACTTTAATATACATCAAAACAATACAATATTATACAATACGATACATAACAATCATCCAAACAAGCCATAAAAGATCAAGAAATATGTTCTTTTTTCACAAAAGGTTAATATGTGTGTACGTGAGTAATTATTATCTGAATCTTGGGATCATGTGGAGTGATAAGTGTCAATGAAGTATCAAACTTCAAAATCATAAACTTGAATGACTACGAGAACAACAAACCCAGTGAACCTTATAAGTGTGGTCTGGAGAGGGTGAGATGTACGCAGCCTTATTCCTACCCTGGAAAGCAGAAAGGTTGTTTCCAAAAGACCTTCGACTAAAAAAAAAGATAAAAGGAGCAATGGCAACAAGTATAAACATATAGATAAAAAAAAAAAGAGCCGAAACCAAGGTAGCAAATCAACGGTAGTAATATCAATCTAGGAATAAATGGATAACAAACCAACACTAATGCTAACGAACCGAGGAAGGCAAAGGGAGACGCTCGACTACCTACTAACCTTCTACCCTAATCCTCGACCTCCACACTCTCCTATCAAGAGTCATGTTCTCAGTAAGCTCCAATTGCACCATATCCTACCTTATTACCTTTCCCTAAAACTTCTTTGGCTTATCTCTACCCCCTCATACCCGCCAAGGTTAACCTCTCACACCTCCTCGCTGTCACTTTTATGCTTCTCCTCTTAACATGCTTGAACCATCTCAATCTCGTCTCTCGCATCTTATCCTCCAAGGGGGTAGTCACACCTCCTCGCTGGCACTTCTATGCTTCTCCTCTTAACATGCTTGAACCATCTCAATCTCGCCTCTCGCATCTTATCCTCCAAGGAGGCCACTACCCGTCGATGACTAATTTAATATAAGTACCAGTCAATGACTAGTAACAATCAATTAGTAGCATTTCACGACTCTGTTCTTGTCTCATTTGTTGTTTTAGCTAATTGCACACCCTAATTAACTAGAAAATGAAATCCTGAGAACTTTCTTCTGGTCATCATTTTGAGGGTTGGAAGTACCATGGACAATATATATCGATAGAGAAATAAAAAGCTCTCCAAGATCTTTAAATCCCTAATATAATCATACTTGATTTGATCAGATAACTATTTCTATATTATGTGTTGGATTATTTTATCTGGTGTATCTATGACAAAGCATTTCTTTTTAATTATGTTGTGACTATGATTTTCCTGAGCCGATGGTCTATCTGACAAATGGCGTATTCAGAGGCAGACTCATGTGTACGGGTGAGGGGTCGCCGGATATATATATATATATATATATATATATATATATATATATATATATATATATATATATATATATATATACACACACCTTGCAAATGGTTAATTTAAAGCAGTTCTGGGTCCGCCAGTATCTAGGATTTCTAAAACATGGCGCACCACTAAAGAAAGGAGGGAAAAAATGTATTTAAGTAGGAATTGATCCATGCTCATTTGGATAAATAATTCGGTATTCAATCAAGTGCACAATTCAACCTTCGTGGAACATGGGTGCCAACAGATAATATTAAACTAATTATAGAAAATACATGCATAAAATACCTAATCTAATGAAGATGGGTTCTCGTGCCTCATAAATAAATCCGCTCTTGCGAAAACAACCTCTCTATCTCCACAAGGTAAGGGTAAAGTTTGCGTGTACATTACCCTCCACAGAACCTAATTGTATAATTATGCTGGATTTGTTGTTGTTGTTGTATCTATGACAAAGCAAGTGATTTCAAAAAGAAAACCAAAAGATAAAAAGGAGTTAAAGCCAACAAGTGCTTAAAAACTGATCTAAACCAAACACCCTCTTATGTCATCCTATTCTGTAGCTAGATATCAGAAATATGGACAAGTCAATTAAACAAAACACAGACTGAATATGATTACTGTTTTGTGGACCACTCCCTTCATAGGAATTTTGAAGCAATGAAAATCTTTAACTTTTAATACCACTTAACCTCAGCATCATGTAGCTCATACGTTGGCTCATATTTGTGCTCCTTAAGTATGCACCACCTACCTCAATTTAACTCAATTTCCACTATAATTATCAACCTACATTATGGCTAATCTAATAAACAGCATCACTTTGACATCCAGCAGCACGACAAATAAGACATTGTGTGTGTGGGGTGGGGGGGCGCGAAGCATTCTGCGTGAACGCAGGGAAGGACAAATAAGACATTGTATGTGTGTGTGTGGGGCCGGGGGGGGGGGGGCGAAGCATTTTGCATGAAGGCAAGGAAGGGCTGCACCTCAAGGGGTGTGATTTAGGCAACCTACTTTGATACAAGTCTTTACCGTTGCTGCAAGGCTCCCCTCGCCTTTCGATTTGAAAACATTCAGTACTTGTGTCTCAACTAAGTAGAGATCTAAAGGGCATAGCCTACTGGAATAAGATATTAACCAAAGGGAGGGGCCGGTGCACGAAGCATTCTGCGTTCACGCAAGGTGCAGGAAAGGAACGCACATCAAGGGGATGTGATGTAGGCAACCTATCCTGATGCAAGGGTCAGTGGCTGATTGCACGGCTCGAACCCGTGCCCTACAGGCCATACGGCAACTTACCATTGCTCCAAGGCTCTGCTTCACCATACGATTTGAAAATATTCAGTATTTGTATCTCAACTAAGTAGAGATCTAAAGGACATAACCCACTGGAATAAGATTTTAAGCACAGAAAGCAGACAATTATATTATAACCACAAATGCAGCTTCTTAAGAGAAACTGTCAAACTTGAATTTTTTTCGTGCACTTGGCACTGAATATGAGTTCAATTTCAGTCTTGAAGAACAATGTAAGACAATTGTGACAACAATCACTGGAGAGGGTTGGAATTTATAACAAAGTATTCCAACCATTAATTTAGAAGAGTTCAATCTTCCAGTCAACCATAATAATCCACTGGTCGCAGAGGAAGGTTCTTCCAAACAATCCATACTTTCAAGGTTTCACACCATTAATAGCTGGAGCGAGACCTCGGGTATTCTTCACATAAGCCACATATTCACTGTAGTGCATAGTAAATAATGTGCTCTGGTATCGAGTTAAACGTATTCGTTTCCTCAGTGATTCTGTTATAGGTCCTTCGTAACCTGCTTTGCGTATCAATGAGTCAATTGCTTCTATCACTGTCCACCCTGGAGACAAAATTCAGAGAGTTCATTTTGCAGCTCAATCAGTTCCAAAAGCGCCAGAAAATCTTAAACAGACAAGAGGTACAACATTCGTCATCAGTGATAGGGAAGGGAGAAGAAAATCACCTTCATGAGCAGCGACCTCAGGTAGGTATGTGGCGTTTCTCTTTGTGTTATAGTTAGGGTCAGTGAATTCAATGATTATCCCATGCGTACCTACCTGAACAAACCCATTACGTCCATGAGAATAAAATACTAGTACAGCCAGCCAACAAGAGAGAGACACACTGTTGGGAAGAAATGCTGGTAGATAATATTGTCAATAATGAGGATTTACGCACTAGCGAATCATGATCACCTTACCCATGCACAAAACATAAAAAAGTCATATGTCTGATCATTCAACTAAAAACCAATAGGAGACTTTTGAAAAGGAAAAAGGCTTCCGACATTTGATTTCAGCATCTGGATTCTCGCGAGGGAGCAAATGAGGAAAAGACAGATTTGATCAGAGCTTCACCGATTTACATGTCGGGGGTGTTCATACATTTTCAAAGATATATTTGATCGCCATGCTTGTGAATCAAATTTCTAAGAGCACCGAGGTCCAAACAAAACTAAGTTCTGTCATCTCATCCAAGTACAATATAATGTCTAAGAAACTAAAAAATGCATGCAATGATTCAACACTATTCATATAAGTGCAATCTAGCAGTCTAATTATGGCAGTATTGCTTCTTATTTGAAATCTTTTGGTGCTCATTAATTTGCTCCGCAAAGCCAATGCACCATCACATAAACATGCATGTCAAGCATAAAAGCATGTACATTTCCACTTTGCTTTAAGAATCAGAGTAAGTTCAAAAGTAGTACCTCCCAGTCTAGGTAGTTAGCTGCAGTTTCATAATTAGTTAGAATTGAAACTGTACACTGTAAAGTAGGTAACTCTTTAGCCTGTATTGGGGGGAAACGGCGGTCCCTGAGGGCACTGCAAATGAATTCAAATATCAGTATAAATGCAGATATAGAATCACAGGATATAACAAGCTCCAAAGTAGGCATGATCAAAATCACTTAAGAACCTAAGAGTGACAAATTTATGGTCTCCAAAAAAAGAACAAAGAGGAGGAAAGGAAATGTAAAACGTCATTTGTACTGAAACAGTGAAATCTGAGATATTAAAGTGCAACAATCTCAAGAGTTAACTGTATACAGATCAAATATCTTTATATCACGTACATACCAATTAAAGAAAAACCTTTATAGCACATACTGAATCATGATGAAGTACTACACCAGTCTGCAAATAGAATGCTTTCAGAAGCTCGAGAAGTGTCCGATCAATTAAAATAAATTTTTTTTAAAACATATACCCAAGCTAACAAGCGTGTTATCCTTCTGCCAGCAATAATCACACTCATGCAAGAAACTCTTATCAAATACTAAAGATCATTTATCTTAATGTCATTCCTCCCTATAAGCTAAAGAACATGAAATTTTATTACAAAAAAAAAAAAGCTAAAAACTAAAAAGACAGCTCCTCAAATGTATGAACTTCACTTGTAATCTACCTTGTTAGAGCATAATCCCTAAAACCATTAACAATGCAGCGAGCTTCCAGAGTGCCAATGCATCCTCGCAACCGAGGCTCCCCACCATTCACTGTTTTCTTCCAAGTCACAAATAATGGGCTGAAATGCAGTTTGGGCCACATGAGAACAAAGCATCCAAATTAATCTACGCATTGGTTTGGCATTTTATAAGTTTCAAAGGAAAGACTAACAATGATGCTAGGCATTTTGATTAGCTTACAAAAAAGGGAGAAAATAAAGCCTTACCCAGTACAAAACTGACAACCAGCTTATCAACACAAAACTTAAAAACATTTTGCAATGAAGATTAAATACAGAGATAGTTAATAGATCAAGTTTCAGAGCCACAAACCTTAAAGATTATAAGGAAGATTAAAGACTACAAGTAGGGGAAATTATATGGAAAAGGAAGCTTCCCATATGTAGAAAAAGAAGTTCCCTACATAAAATCCTAGTATTTGAAAAGCGTACGAAGCAAAGAGAGACCATTTTCAGAATGCTATAACAAATTAACACTTAGTATAAATTATTCTCAAAAAAAAAATTTAACATTTACAAATTACAAGTGACACAATTGGAATTAAGAAGTTAAAAATCATATCTTTTTTATCACATATTCACGCAGGTCCGGGGAAGGGTCTCACCACAAAGGGTGACATGCAGACAACCTACCTTCCTACCCTAATGCAAGCATCGCGGCTTAGTGGCGGCTTCTACAGCTCGAATCCGTGATCTATAAATCAAACCGAGACAACTTTACAGTTGCTCCAACGCTCCTCTTCAATAAAAGTAACAAATCACATCTCGAAAGCACATGCAACCAAGAATGTAAACTGATCCACAGTAAAACACTCAACTAAACAACTAGCACAAAACAATCTAATTCATTCCAATCTAAAAATAGAGAAATTGCACATACCCAGGTACAAGGTTGTCTATTTTCCACTCTATATCCCAAAAGGATAGTAAAGAAATTTTTACACATCATGTATATTAAATTTAAAAATACCCCATGTATTGAAAAATAAAAAAGGACCAAAAGAATAGAGATGTGGGTGTCTCTATTTTTAGGCTAAAAGAAAAAAGTAACATACTGTTCACCCTCATCAAAAGCAGGAGGAGGAGGCTGTTCTTTGTTGAAGTGAGCCACCAATGTATCAAAGCAGTAAACAACCATTTCCTTATTTGCTGACACCATTTTTTTCTCTTGTTAAATTCAAATCAAATATAACCCAGAACAAGAATCGATCTTTCAATCAATCAGTTAACAATCAATGGATCAATTTGAGTCCAATTAATAAAAGGGGTTTTCCCCTTTTTCTATGTGCTTTCAACAAATCTTAAGCAGGATTGAGTAATAAAAAGAAAGAGCCTTTAGAGTATTCTCCTTCCTTTTCCCCTTTGGCTCTTTTTGAGTTTTGCTTTAATGGTTCCCAACAATTATTTAGAGGAGTGGAAAAGCCAATATTGCTTAGCTTTTTCCTTTTTGTTTTCTTATTACTCCAAATAAAATAGTTAGTACTATGTTTTTAAGAACCCGTTTGGCTTAGCTGATTTAGAGTAGCTGATAAGCATTAGGTGCTGAAAAGCACTTTTAGGTGCTGAAGCTGATTTAAAAAATAAGCAATTACGTGTTTGGATAAAAGTGATGAAATTGATAATAAGCAGCTGAAGAACTGGGTATACGAAGAGTTTTGTTTTCAAAAAAAGTATTTTAGGGATTGAATAGTAAATATTTTGGTCAAACCTAAAGTGCTTATAAGCTGAAATTTGATAAGTTGGGGGAGATCAACTTATCGCTTTTGGCTTATTTTTAGCTTATAAGCACTTTTAATTTTACTAAACGCGTAGATAGGCCAAAAAGTGCTTATAAACCAGTTTGACCAGCTTATAAGCTTAGCCAAACACCCTCTAAATCCAAACATAATTAATAGTTTCTCCAATTATTTTTTTGCATTAATGTCGTCATGGACCAACCTTCTAGAGAAAGGCCAGAAAAGCCCCTCGGTTGCTGGAAACTATCATATTTTACTACATTTACGTTGCGTGACAAAAAACTTGAAAGCAACATTAGAATTTCCTAGTTTTAGTCCCTCATCTAAACATTAATAATGTTTTCCTATAAAACGTTACAAGTCTATAAAAATCAGACTTTCTACCCTCAAATGATACCCCGCTTATAGAATTACACTAAATTGTTATTGTAATAAAACATTTACAGTTTAAGCGTCCGATTGAATTGCATTTTGTGAAAAAAGCTATAGGACGCAATGAAAAAAATAAAACACAAATTTTGTTTCAACTTTCATAGTCTATAATCTAATTTGGTTTGACTAAATATAATCCCCTCATTCTTTTGGTGTGATAAAATTCTTATAAATCCTTGGTTTGAACATCATACTATTGGTTATTGTATCAATCGTTTAATTGCATGCAATAATGTCATGGTAGACATTGAAATTAAGTTGTTGAAAAACCTAAATCTATTCGAGAATAGAACTAATTCCGTCCTTAAGATTTTATGTTAAGCATAAAATGCCTTATAATTTTATATTTTTATATAGCCTATGTTCTCATGTTAACTAAAAACATTAACTATTATAGAAGTTTGATCGTTTGAGAGAAAAGTTAAAAGTTGGATCCACATGAGATCTATAATGGAGAGCTAAAGAAACACCAGTCACTATCTAATTAAACAAAAACTAGCTAACAAGTCGAACCCCCACAAATAAGTAAGATCGCTTACACTTGGATAATGTGTCAAGCGCTAATTAGGTGTGGAGGATATAGGTGATTTAAAAAGAGAAAGTAGTTGGTCGAAAATAAAGGAGATTTTAAAAAGAGATTTTAGTACTAACTTACCAACCAGGCGCACAGTCGTATTAAATTTTTAGGTTCCTTGAAAATTATCAGCAAGTGTTTTCTTCATTTTCGGCAACAGTAGAAAAAAAGACATGAGAAAATGAAATCTACCCTGTTTGTAGAAGAAAGCAGGCAAAAGAGTTCCATGGTACATTTTGCGTCACCGTTAGAAACTAAATAGCTTCATTCTTTTTCGTGAGATGGACGTAGTAAAAGAAAGGCATTTAATTGTATCCAACACAAATATCCAGAACGTAATTGTTAAAGTAAATGGTCGTAGCACACAATAAGTACAAGGATTATTCAAGTTAATCCGAATCCGAATCATGTCTTCTTCTCTTCTCCTTGTCTTTCTTGTGTTTCCTCCTGTCATCTGAATCTCGGGTATGCTTCCTCTTATCGTCTGAATCGCGGGAACGTTTCCTCTTATCGTCTGAATCGCGGGACTGTTTCCTCTTATCATCTGTATCCTGCAAGTGTCGCTTCTCTCTCCTTTCATCTTTTTCCCGTCTCTTCTCTTCACGCCTCCTCTTCTTTTGGCTCCTTTCATCTTCTGACTCTTCTTCATTCTGTAGGGGTGCAGCAGCAGTTACACTCACATTAATCTTTTCTACCGGCTCATTTATCGGATCAGATGGAAAAGCCGATGGTGAACTTGGCTGTTCCCAAGGTTTGGGCAATCTGCAGAATGCGTTAGCAAACATGATAAGGCACCCGCACAGAATAAAGATGAAACAAAATCCATACAGTTCTGTCCTTTATTATTTTTTTTAAATCTTAATTTAGTAACTCTTGGACCTTTCATCTTTAAAGTCAGGCCACCGTACCTCAACTAGAATGAAATTCAGAGATAAGTTATCAATGAGAAAAACTCTAAAGGGCGGGAGAAAAATAGTGTCATAACGCACAACATAGGAAATGACTGATAAGAATCCCAAAAATCTAAAGAGAACTTTCAATGCTAGTGAAACCAATACTTACTTTGAGAAACCAAGACCATCTACCCGAGCTGCTTCAGAATGGCCTGCTCCCAAGTCTTCTGCAGTTGAACCTCTCTTCACAAGTTCAGAAAACTCATGTTTATCTAGCCGAGTACCTTGAGGACGTGTGGCACGCTTAGGAGCTAAGCCCAGCGCCTCCCTCATTGCCTGCTCCTCCTCTTCTTTAATCCTACGTATTTCTTCTTTTGCTGCCTCCATATCCTTTTCCTGGGATTTCTTATCGCGGGTGTACCAATGAAGATCTTTCCCTGCACAGAGGGGAAAAACACCACAACAAGATGTGAAATATGCCACTAGTTAAGTCTATGTAATGAAGAAATAGAATGTCTAGCGCAACTTACCCCAGTTCTCCCCAGTAAAAAAGCACTAGAATTTCCAGATAAAATATGCATTTAGTACCTCATGAATCCAACATGTTATTTATAACGTCAAATCTATATCGGCTAGCCTTGTCCAAACATGCATCTTCAGACTTGGCAAGATAATTACAGTCTACAAAGCAGGGCAGAAAATTTCCTCCGAGAATACAAGATTAGACAAGATAAAAATGACCACACCCGCCAGAAGGTGCAATTAGCACACATCAAGGATAAATGAGAGGAGGACGCTTGAGATTGTTTGTTTATGTCCTACGTCTACCTCCAGATGCACTCTTAGTGCGAAATGAAAGTATTAGAAGGGGACGAGGTAGACCTCAAATCACGTGGAATCTATGCATACTTAGCCAAAGGTAGGGTATGATGGAAGAAGATGACCTATATAGGCAATACAAATTAGTTGGGATATATTTTAGACATATTAGTAAGTCACTTTAGATCTTATGCTTTCTAGGAATCTTTTAGTCTTGACAGAGATTTATATGTCAATCGAAAATGTAGAGAACTTCAAATACATTTTTGTTATTATTTGTATCTTGCATAATATTGGCCTTAGATGAGTTTACATGGAGAAACATGATCAATGAGGATTCATATAGCCGACTACAACTCGTTTAGGACTGAGGTATCTGTATCTCTCTCCCCCAACAACCAATAAGGCAAATCAATCAACTATGCCTCAATCATAAACTAGTCGTCTCTATAAGAATTTTTTGTATTTATTGAACTCCATTCAATTTTCAGTACATAATTGTCTTTTAAGGCAACCTCGGAGTTACCTAAAGCTAGAGATTCTCTAAATTTCACACTTACCTTACACGCGCATATAAGTCTGTAACCAGAATAAAACAAGAAATCACACGATCTAATGTAAGCAACAATAACCACCAAGTCTTAATTCCAACTAGTTCGTGTAGCCTATATGAATCTTTTGCTACTGTTATGTGCTTTTCTTGGCTAAATACATACAGATTCCAAGGGATAAGGTCTTTTAATAAAATTTCCTCAACGTAATTGTAGGCCTCTTTCAGTTTATTCTTTTTCTCGATAAGGGTATTTCAGTTATTTATTATATTATATGTGCTACTTGCACCCTCTGTTGATGTGGTCATCTCAAATCTTTTTCAATCTTGTATAGTTGGACAACCATACAAAGATTCGCAATTTCAACATCATTCAAGTTGTTGATAGCCCCTCTTTTAATCGGTTTAAGATGTTGATAGGCCTTATAGCCCAATATTCACTCTTATACGATATTGCTAGTCTGAGAACTTCTATACAACTTCCTTTCACTTTATTAAGTATTTACTTATCACATAGCTCCGAATACGGATGGCAATGGGGCAGGGAAAAGTAGGGCAAGACAGGGCATGGCCTTAATGGAGCAGGGAAGGGCAAAACTTAAACAGGGCAGGGCAGGCCGCGGATGGTCAAAACACTTCTTTCGAAAATTTAAAATAGGGCAGGGCAGGGATAGGTAAGAAGTTGTAGCTTCATTAAAAAGGTCAAAAAGTTATAAAAACTTGAATAGAATATTGCAAAATGAAAAAAAAAAAAAAAGTTCAAAAAATGAACAAGATTCTAAACAGGGTAGGGTAGGGGGGCAGGGCTGAGCTTAATAGGCCGGGGCAGGGCAAAAACTTGAAAAAATGCTAAATAGGGCAGGACAGGGCGGGTCAAAAGCTTAGCAGGTCACAACTTGCCCTGCTCTGGCATGTCCTACCCAATTGCCATCCCTAACTCCGAAATCACTTGATAGCACTCTTCCATTTCAATAATTATACTTCAGTTCAATGTTTTATCTTCATCTATCATGTCATTCTCTTAAAAGACAGCCTAGATATTTGAATTGTTTGCATTTAGGTACCACAATCTCGACCTAATATCAATTTAACTTCATTCTTAAGAGGGTTACACTTCCCGAACATATATTCTTATCTCATTTCTACTTATCTGAAAATACTCAATCTATAAAGTGCTTCTTCACAGCTCCATTTTTTCATTTCATAGTCTCATCAATTGACAATATCATCAGCATCATCCTATAAATTATTGTTTATCTTCCAACATTAATTTAATTAAATTCAAGCTCACAGAAGACCCTTGGTGTAAACCTACCATTATACTAAACTCCTTTCTTACCTATTTTTAAAAAAAATTTACTAAACTCTTTTATATCTCCTCCTACTGTTCACACACCTTTGATTGCTCC